TGAACAGAAATCCCGAAAGCGGGCGCCCCTGCTGCATTCATCGCTCTGGTAGATAGTGGTGCCCTCGGAGCCCCGCAAAGAAAATATAAATCTTGACGTTGTGATAGAGCGCCGCAACCGCTAGCCTGATATGAGGAGGTATATTCATGACGAGGAGGACCCAGGATACCACGCAGTGAAGGAGGCTGGGGAAGGCCGTCTTCACGTCGAAAGCGGCAAAACCTGCTTCCTTGCATGCGTGCTGACAGAACCAAGACATAGCCCCGGCCTCGATGTCGATAATATTGTTAGTCATACTGCGCCCTTTGATGCTCCCCTTCTGTACATTCAGGCAGGTCTGCTGGCGTGCCGAGCCCAGGGGGTGTTAATAGCAGCGGATACAGCCTTAATGCACGTGTTGCTGAGAGTGATGGGCCTCGTATATTCAGGAGTCCGATAAGTACCTGCACCTATAGTGTCGTGCGATTGCTCGCCCTGCGCGAGGAAAACAGCCATGCCGCGGTTAAAGTCGCCCCTGCGGAGCAGCCCTCGGAGAACTGAAGAGTACACCTGGAACAGGAGAGCCTGAATCTCAGGGCCGCCGCGGGCCCGGCACGAATGCGGGATCCCGTCGGGCCCAGGAGGGCCGTCGTACATCCTTTTGAAAGGGTCCGTGAACTCGGGGAGCTCGAGGCCCCGAAGGATTCCAAGGGGACATGGCTGAACGCGAGGCCTCAGAAGCTCTCTGGTAGTCCTTGAAACTCCTGACGGATGGCCCCCCCAATGCCTCGCACGTTCACGCCCGACGTCGTCGGGGTCGCGCAGCTGCTGCCCCGTCGGACCCACGAGCCCACTGAGGGAGACCTTCTTCTGCAACTTGCCCCAGGCGGAGGTGTTGGACTCGAGGCGATCCTTGAGGGTGGCCTTTTTTTTGGGGGGGGGGCCATAGGTGCTCTCTCGATGTCATCTCGGCGCTCTTGGATCCTCCGAAGCGAGAGTTTACGCAAGTGCTCGTAAAACTGTCGATCTTGACACCAGCCGACACCGTCGGCCTGGATGAACTAACTAACACCGTCAGCTGACGAGCGGGTAGCAACTAACAGCCTTGTTCACCAAGCTGGCGTTGCCTGTGCTGACAGCTCGCATTAAACATAATGACCAAGTGACCCGCTCGTCGGTACTCCCGGCTGGGCGCAGTTCGAGTCGTCGACGAACGCGCTTAGCAGCGCCGTGTAGGACCTCTTTGGCCTCCTGAAGGGCAACTCCGAGATCGTGGGGGAGTGGGCCAACTTCCTGGAGTAGCCTCTCAACTTCTTCGGCGAACCATGGACGCCGGGAAACCCACGAAAGCACCTTCGGGGGCCCAGGGTTGGAGCACGGAGAAGGCGCGACGCAGACAGGGGCGTGGACGGACGGCGTGTTCGGCTTGTTCGGGGCCCCAAGAACGATGCTGTTGGGGAACGGGCCCAGGGCCTGTGCGGGAAAATTGTTGGTATAAACGCGATAAATCCTCCCAACTGACCCGGCCTGTGCGAGCTGGGGCGCGCGGGTGAACTCAGACTGGTGGAATTCTAAAAGCTAAGGGGACAACATGCGAAACTCGCTGGCCAACGCGTTGGACGGGGTGGCGCATCCCCCGCCGCTGCGGGCCCTACTCACGCCGAGGCTCGGGAAATTCCAGTCGCCAAGCGCGATGGACAGCGTGGAGCACTGATTCTTCAGCACATGCCGAAGACACTGTAAAACTCTGGATTGCTCACGGCGACGGAGCTCAGGATTGAAAGGCCCAGAGAGCAGGGTGAAGAGCTATCATGCAGCCTCCAGCTCCTTCACGGGCGCGGAAGCTCCCAAAAAAGTGCGAATCTCGGATTTGGCGAGAGAGCAGTCTCATGTCTTCTGGATTCCGCGGGCCCCCTGGACACCAGCAACGCTGTGTTCCTGAACAAGTCTGGCCAAAAGTCTGCGTTTGGCTCGCGTTGTTTCAATCGGCGTGCTGGAAAAACCAAATAACCCTCTGGTATCCCATGAGACAACTGAAAACTTGCTTCGGATCTGAAACGGTTGTAAACTCACTTGCACAAGGCTGCTGGAACTGCCAGACGAATCAAATGAAGACGAGGAGGAAGAGGGAACCGAGCCAACGGTGGAACTGGATCCCCATCTGGAGGAGGAGCTCGAGCCACTGCTAGCACACTCCTGGTCTCCGTTGCCTCGGCCAGGATTTCCCTCCTTGGACCTGGCGGACGGAGCCCCGGCCGCGCCGCGAGAATCCCCAGCGCGCGCCCCCCCCCCCCCCCCACACACACACACGCACGCACACACACACACACACACACACACGAGCAGCAACTCTCGAACTACAGCAGGGCGGGAGAGAGCGGGCAGACGCCAGCAGCAAGTCGCCCGAACCAGAAGACGAGCACCAGCGCCCAGACGGAGTAGAAGAGGATGAGGGTCGGATCGAATACCCAGCACGGGTGGAACAGGTTGTCAGCGGACGCAGCGTGTTCTTCAATTTCCTCACGCGCGGCGCGATAGTTTCCTACAGCATGGCGATGCGGATCCATTCGCAGGCCTGGGCGTCGGTGATCCCAAACTCCTTGAGGGGCGCCATCCCGGGGAAGATGTCCACCTGCTCGTTGTGGTTCTCGCTCAGGGTGAAGAGCGCCCGCGCATCCTCATGCCAGGCCACGAACAGGACTTCTTTGTGCGGGCTGCTCCCTATCTTCATGGTGAGGGGGTCGAGCTTTTTTCGCGGCGCGCACGTGGTCTGTGAGCTGCTGCCACAGGGCGCCGAGGAAACGATTCTTCTTGCGGACGTCGGGGCTGGCGTCCATCCTGGCTCGCAATGGGCGAGGGCGTTTGTTGCGATCCACCCGCTGGAAACTTCAGCTCGAGCTTTCCAGGAACGTCTTGGCGTGGGGCGCTGAGCCGAACTTGATGGAGCATCTGCGGTTCAGGTTGTAGCACTTCGCTTGGCCGCTGGCAGCCATGCCCAGCGGCGTAGCCTTGATGGCGGCATCGGCGCGGGCATGCATAGCCGAGGCAAGCATCTTATGCGGGAGCCCGCCGATCCAGACCATCGTGGGATCGGAGTCGTTGCGGCGGGTCCCGATTGAGCCCGGAGTCCTGGTGGAGGAAGCACTGCTCCCTGCGACCGAGGTCGGCGCCGACTGCTGGATCATGGCGGCCCTGGCGCTGATCTTCTCGTCGAGCTTGGCCTCCATCCTAGCCTCCAGCTGGTGAAGGGTGGCCGACTTGCTCGCCTGGTTGATGGCCTCCTGGACGGCGGCGCTCTGCAGGTCGAGACATTGGTTGATCTCCTTGATGGCAGAATCGTACTGGCCGAGGGAGATCTGGATCTCCGCGAGCTTCGTGCTTGTGACCGTTCTCCATCTTCATAAAGAAATTCATTAGGTCCGTATTGGTGGGCACTAGGGGGGGGGGGGGGGGAGGGGGCGTGGCCGTGCCGCAGTCCTTCTCATCCTGCAGCTCAGCCTTCATGCCGAGAGTGTCCACGCCTTCTGTTTTCTCCTGCGAGTTGGCGTCGCCAGCGGCGAGGTCGAACTGCTGTGGTGACGCGGGCGAACGGGCACTTGGGGCCGTGCTGCCTTGGCTCGGCTTGGGAGAGGCCTCCACACCGTCGTCCAGGTCGTCCGCCTCAAGGATGCCGTAGGAGTCGAGGAGCTGGTCCGATCCGGCTCCAGGAGTGCATCCTTCCATATGTTCTGCATCAGAGCCATCAATCTGGATCGCCTTCTGTGGGGGACCACCTGGGACTTCGCAGCCTCGTCTCTTTTTAGCAGCGGCCCACGGGTCGCTGCTGGCAAGCGGGTCGTATGCGGACGGAACCTGGCCCTTGCCGAACGGGGACGGGTGGGCACGGCTGGAGAGAACTCCTTTCCCAGGGGTCTGGCTGCCAGCGGAGGTCCCAGCGTCGCTGGGAGTCAGGATCGGGTCCACAGGCGCGGTGCGAGACATGGCGGCGGCGCAGAGGGAAGAAAAGCCTTGATTGGGATATCAGTGAAAGAAATGTGTCCGCCCGAGCACAACACTCGGGATAGCCGTTCAAAGGCTGCCCACTCAGGCGCAACTGCCCCCGCTACTGCTGCAACGGGGCGGCCGAGGCACTTGAGCCAAAATGGCAACGGAGGACGAGGAGGAGGAGGAGGAGGAGGAGGAGGAGGAGGGAGGAGAAGGAGGAGGAGGGGGAGGAGGAGGAAGAGGAGGAGAAGGAGGAGGAGGAGGAGGAGGAGGGAGGAGGAGGAGGAGGAGGAGGAGGAGGAGGAGGAGGCGGAGGAGGAGGAGGAGGAGGGAGGGAGGGTTGCGGGGCCCACGCCGATCGGCAAAACAGTAATTACGTAATTACATACAAAAGCGATCACCCGAAGAAAGCCAGTCGAACGCGAGCTGGAAGGTGCTCCGCACAGCTAGCTGCCGGGGCCTCGCGAGCAAAGGAGGGGGCGGGCTGGAGGCGCACAGCCCTTTGTGAGCCGACGGAATAATCATGGAGTGCTGCGTCTGCAGGCTGTCTCGGGGGGTCCCCCTGTGAACGTTTTTTTATGCGGCGTTTCGGCACTGGGCGGAAAGGGGGGGGGTCTGGCTCTGGACCTCTGCTAACATGCGACTGTCTGCGGCAGTGGGTCCTATGTGGGAGAGGCTCCACCCGCTCGAAACAGGCGCCCAAAGCAGTCAAGATCCAGTCTTAGGGGCTTCTTCGGCTGTCTCGAGGCCACCTTTGAGAGTCTTGGAGCCCTATCGGGTCGTTTTGGGCCCTCGTGAATGTCTCGGAGCCGTCCTGAGGCAGTCTGAGGCCATCTTGGGGCACCCAGGAGGCTCTCAGGACGGCCAGGGGGGTCCTGCAGCCATTGAGCACCAGGCCATTCTCGCACGCAAATGCCCCTACAATGTAGGCAAGATGACGTCGGGCTGCAGTTTCGCCTCCCGCATCTCGCTCAGCAGCGCCAGGGCCCGCAACCAATGCTCACCGTTCTGGCAAGCGCTGATCCCAGCATTGTAGCTGATGACGTCGGGCTCCAGCTTCGCCTCCCGCATCCCGCTCAGCAGCGCCAGGGCCCGCTGCCACTGCTCGCCCTTCCCGCACGCGCTGATCCCAGTGCTGTAGCTGACTAGCGTGTACCCGCGCTTGCTGCCACTGGCGGCGGGGGTTGCCGAACCATGGGCGGGTCGTGCCAGAGGGCACGGAGAAGGCCCCCGGAGGGCTCCAAGAGGGCTTCAAGAGGGCCCCAGGACGCCGCCGGGCGCGGGCCCACCATTTTGCCACGAGAGGCCCTTCTGTGGCAGAACGCACCCGGCCCTGTCTTGGAGAGGCCCGAAGGCCTCAAGAGGGTCGCACGGGCGTCCCCGAGGGCCCCAAAGAGGGCCCCAAAGAGGGCCCCAAACTGCATGTGCTTGATATGTTTCTTGGGCTTGCGAGAGGGGCACCCAAGTACATGCGTCATGGGGCCTTGTCGGGGCCCTCTGGGGGCCCTCCTGGCCCCCTCTTGGGGCTCCTCGGGAGCGCTCCCACCCTGTCCTGGCCCCCTCTTGGAGCCGCCATGGGCGGCTGAGGAGCCGTCTTGGGGCCCTCCTGGCAGCCACCTGAGGCATCTTGAGACGATCTTGAGGGCCTGTGTGGCCGTCTTGGACGCTTCGAAAACAAAAAGCACGGGAACTCCCGAAATGCACGTTTTCCCTGGGGTGTGTGACGATTTGTCCTTGTTCGTGCTCTCCTGGGGCTCTCTCTGGAGCCCACTTGGAGCATTTTGGGGGGCCTCTTGGACCGTCGGGCAGCTGTCTTGGGTGTCTTCGAGCGCTCGGGGCCCGTCTCGGAAGCCCTCTTGGACCGTCTTCGGCCGTCTTCGGGCCCTCTTGGTGCCGTGCCAGTGGCCGCCGAAGGGGGCCGGTCCGCTGCCACTGCTCGACACTTTGGCGAGCGGTGAGCGCTACATTATAGGAGAGGAGATGACGCTGGGCTCCAGCTTCGCCTCCCGCATCCCGCTCAGCAGCGCCAGGGCCCGCTGCCACTGCTCGCCCTTCTCGCACGCGCTGATCCCAGCGCTGTAGCTGACTAGTGTGAACCCGTGGATGAAATCCACAGCGTGCTGAGCCTTGAACTCGCACGCCATAGGCGACCAGCTCGTCGAAGTTGAACAGCTCGGGCGTCCCTGGGGCGGGCGGTAGGGGCGACCTTCGGAGGCAGATGTGTGGTCACGTTTGGGGGCAGTGGTTGGGGGCTATGTGTGAAGGCCAGGCTTGGGGGCGCATGGGGGATACTCGTGGGGGCGACGTTCAGGGGCCACGCTTACTGGGGCGGTAGGGGCGACCTTCGGAGGCTTTATGTGGGGGCCGCCTTTGGGGGTCCCGTTTGGGGGCCACGTGTGGGGCCGACGTTTACGGGGCCACGTCTGGGGGCCACCCCGGAAAGCAGTCGGGGGAGCTCCAGGGGCACTGACCTGGAAGCGTGAAAAGGAATGGGTTTTTGCTAATCGCGCCGGGCCTGGGGGCGATTAGCAAAAACACATGGTTTTTCAGGCACAGTCAGGGTGAGGGGAACACGTTTGCGGGCCTCGGTTGGGGGCCGCGCAGGGAGGTCTTGGGGCCATCTTGGGGGTCTCGGGCCTTCTCGGAGGTCGCTTTCGGCCCTCTTGGGCGGCATCTGGGGCTGTTCTTGGGGCGTCTTAGGGCCATCTTGGGGGTCTCGGGCCGTCTCGGAGGTCGCTTTGGGCCCGCTCGGGCGGGATCTGGGGCCCGGTTGGGGCTGACTTGGGGGTCACTTGAAGCTCTGTTGGGCCGTCTTGGAGCCCTCGTGGGCCGTCTACGGGCCTTCTTAGGCCGTCTGCAGGCCCTGCTGGGGCCCTCTTGAAACCGTGCAGGGGCAATGTGGGAAGCCCGCGGGGCCATCCTGGGCCGTTGTAGGCCCGAAGTGGCGGGAACAGGAAAACCCTCGAAACCTTCTTGGAATTCGCACAAGTACTGCCTCTCGGCACCGTCCACGCGGTCCTCGGGGGCCGTCTCTGATGCATTTTTGTGCCGTCATGGGGCTTCGGCCCTCTTGGGCGTCTGTGAGGCCGTCTTGGGGCGATCTTGGGGTCCTGGAGCCGTCGGCGAGCGCTCCAAGGGCCTCCGGGGGCCGTCGAGGAGCGGCCCGGAGGCTCTCCGGCCCGCGGGCTCTCTGGGCGGCCCGTGGCGCTGCCACTGCTTCTGCTACTCGCACGCGCGACCGCGCGGCCACGCCGAGGCTCCCAGGAGGCGCGACGCTTCGGCCACCGAGGCCCCGTCAGGGGTCTTCGTGGGGCCCTTTGGGCCCAACTTCGTACCCTTTTGGTCTCTGCGAGGCCTGTCTTGGGGATCACGGGCCGTCTGGGGCTGTCTGGGGGGCCTCTTGGGCATTATTGTGGCCCTCTTGGGGCTCTCTTGGGGCTCTCCTGGGGGCCTCTTGGGGCCCTCTTGGGCCGCCTTGGGGCCCTCTAGGGCCGTCTTGGGGCCCTCGTGGGCCGTCCTGGGGCTCTCGTGGGGGCCCTCGTGGGAGCGTCGCGGGGGCCTCCAGGGTTCTCTTCAGCTATTCGTGCTCGAAAAAACCCGTACCGACAAAACCCTCGAAAACCAATGGAAAATCCATATTTTTGGGGCTCCTCGGGGCGTCCTCGGAGTCGTCTGGAGTGCTCCGGGCCACTCGGCTCCTCAAGGAACCCTGGGGGGCCGGTTTGGGGCTCGCTCGGAGCTCTCGTGAACACGTCATGGGCGGGACCGCCGCAACGGTTCCGGGAACGCCGGCGATGGGCCAGGGCCCCAGGAGCGCCGGGAGCGGCCCCGAGCCACTGCCGGTCACCTCGCACGCGCTGCGGCTGGCATTGTAGTATAGACTAGCGTGAACCAGTGAAAAATCCACGGCTGGCAGATCAAGTTGTCGGTGCCAAACGCGCATGTGTCGCCAATCGCAGGCGGCACGTGCGCGTCTGGGACCGACAGGCTCTCGGGTTTGCTGCAGGCTCTGGGCTCTGGGGCTGGAGGCGGCCTGCAAGTGTCCTGGGAGGGTCTGGCGCATCTCGGAGTGGTCCTTGCAGGGGTCTGGTGGCAACGACGGTAGCGGGACGCCCGTCGTCGAGTCTCGCCGCATCCTCTCAGGAGGAGGAGGAGGAGGAGTTGCGAGTTGCGAGCTATCCCACGAAGTGGTCGAAACGAACGGATTACAAGCGACAGCGCTGCTCAGCCTGACTAAGCACCTTAGGCCACTTGCCGACTTCTAATCTGGAAAGGTACTCCTTCCTATGAGGAGCTACGTGCCTGCAACAGGGTTTGGCCAACTCTCTCAACTGCTGATGAGCGAAGTGGCCACACCCAGAACAAAACCAAACTTTCTGAGCATTCGACAATCTCAAACTGTGCGACGTGTCAACCCACCCCCCAGCTACGTGGAGCCGCCCCCCCATCGGAAGGCCCCTGAACTTATCAGAAACAACATCTGGCACGAAACAGGGCGAGGTGAGCCACTCAGACAATTTTGCTCTCGAGGCAGACCCGAAACATCTGAGGCACCTGCGCCCACACTCGTCTCGTCAAGGCTATGTTCCGACACGAAAGCACGGACGACCGAGGGGGCAGGAGGAGGGGGAGGAGGAGGGCCCTTCACCCTCGGGGGCGCTCCACCACGCTCCTCGGCCTGCAGCGTGTCCAAGCTGGCCCTAAGGAGGCGGTGCCTGACGAGCCACGCCGTGCGCTCGATGGTCAGGATGGAAGCCCGAACCTCGTCGGGCAATCTGCATGCTTGTGCCGCCTGCGCGGCCAATTCGTCTACACAGTGATTGCCGACAGCCAACCAGGACGGGATGCCTGCATCAACGATCTGCTCGCCTGTGAGGTGAGAGTTGACGAACAATACAGAGACCTGCCCCCTCCGACGTTTGAGCTGTCCTCCGATGGCATTCCAAAGATCTTTGTTGGCCCCATGGGGCCGTGCGTGCATCTGCTCATGAAATCCTTTTGTGACCGCTTCACAGTCGGTCACATGCACCAGATGGTCCTTAGTACACTCCAAGGCCAAAAGAAAAGCTCTGACTTCCCCTCTGGGGACAGACTGCACACGTCCCGCAAGAGGGCCCTGGACGGAAGCGCGAATGACACACGGAGAAAAAGCCTCCAGCACAGTGATTGCAATACCAACCCTCATGAACCTGGGATCTCCAGAATCCTTGCCTCCTGAAGCATCTCCAAAGACAATCAGGGGTTGCGCCTCAGTGCCCTCCCCCAGACATCCAGGTGGTTCTGTCGCGTTGGTGCCGACCAGATGCCACGTCTCCTCCATGGTTGGCGGAGGTGCTGCGGTCCACCTGGCTGGGATTATCCCTCGCAGCCAAAAACAAGGCTCGGCTTCATGTTGCGCGTATGCAGCGCAAACGAGATGCCCTGAGTCGTCGTAGGCCTGGGCCCCTCGATTTTCAGCACACCCCCAACACCTGTGAAACTGAGTTTCGGGCTCAGCGGAACACCTGGGACACAAAACCTCATGCTCACCCGCGATTTCGTCTTGCTGCCTCTGACGCGGCCAGGACCCTCCCGTAGCAATCGAAACCATCATCTCGGCCAATCGCCTGCCCTGCCGCACGGACTGAAGCTGCTGAATGAGTCTCCGCAGCGACATATTATCAACTCCAGACTGCATTCCTTCGCCGCAAAAATGGCGGGCGGCCTCGCGCCACAACTTGGCTTGAATAGTAGCTCCAAAGTCCTCCAGCAGGGGCTCAGGGTCGTCATCCAGGATGTTTCCAGAAAGCTCAGAAGGGGGGAATCTCCACATCTCCAGGTCCCCTTCGTGGTCCTCTGGAGCCCTCCAAAGCCAAGGTAATTCAGGATTCCACCCAGCCTCCAGAAGATGTAGAATAACAGCTCCAGTGGGACCGCGGACCAGCCGTGAACGTTGCCCTGCTGGAGCTTCCTTCATGCGCTGCAAGATCTTCGGCCATGCAAGCATAATGCCCTGCCGTATTGTTGGCAAGGTCAAAAACTGCTGCAGCCACAGACGGAGACATGCCTTGGGAAGTGCGTATCCTGGATCTCCTC